GAATTCAATATATCCGTGTAGTGTAGTGAGTTCAGATGTACGTAATGTACAGAATAAAACCAACCACCACTGGTACAAAGGATATCCTTCTGGCAAATCGAAGCCACAACTTTAGGATCCTGAAGACGGAAAACGGAGTGACCCAATTACTCCAAATGTCATTTCTCATGGCGTATACATCATCATCTTCTTAAACTGCTTACTGGAAACAACTTACAGCAATCTGATTTCATCAGGATTTTCTGATGAAAAGGGTTTGGATGGAGGTATTTAAAAAAAAAAATCAGATGGCAGGTGTAATCCTACAGATAACATTCAAAAAATAAATACGTTACCAAACTAATTAGGTGGATTAGCTGCAATTTACTTTTTGTCCCATTAATTTTAGTAAGTGGTGGCAAATTTGGGGTGAGGAATCCAAAACAAAGGTGGCATTCTGCCGCTTCGCTCTGGTTTGGGCGAACCGGTAGCGGCGGCGGGAGGCTCCGCCCACCCACCATCACGGGCGCTCTGCACATGCGCTCCTGTTTCCAAACCGGTAGCGAAGGTTAAGAGGATTTCATGACTGAATCCAAACTACTGCCTTCCTTTTATACCACATGAAGCACGTACATCTTTTCAAATAAAATGAGGTTATCACATGGAGACCATAATTAAAATCAGCTCTCCTTTCACTCTGGAACTCCAACCCATACGGACGTATCTCTTGCACAGAAAGCCTTCCACTATGACAGCCAGATACAGTACATTTAATTAGCAGGTCCTTAATGACTTGATTTTGGACAGCTTATAACCCTCCTTGATCGGACGTCGGCCACGGTTGAAGTGGCCTCCGGAAAGAGTTATTTTACAACACACATAATGTTTGAGACTTTGGCACAAAAATAAAGGAACAGGCCTTTGGAGGCATGGGCACAGCTGATTTTTAACTGATCTTTACACAATATTGAGTGTAATAGACATCTAACTTTTTGGGGTGGATATGGGTTTCAAACCATGCGAAGAGATGGACTTCACTTCTAGAAGCACTTTTAGCATGAACTTGAAATTATATCTTCTAAGAATGATTAAAATGTGACATTTTGTTCAAAACTTTGAAGTATGGTTAGAGGGCCTTAAGCCTCTATCTTCACATTTATGATGTTTGCCAATTATCCAAAAGTTACTCTATTTTCTTCAGGTTTTAATACAGTAACTGGATGGCAGAAACCAACTACTTGGTATCTTTTAAGGAAATTCATTCAATGCTTCCCCTTTGGAAATCTCTTCCCCCATCCTTCCAGAATGATATTCAAATTATGTAAATAGTACTCAGACACAGCTATAATTAAGGTCATGTAGCTTCTACAGTTCAAATTCATATATGTGTGAATGTCTCTGCAAGGATCCTGAGATGTCGACCTTCATTCGTTTCATGAGAGAAATGGTGACTGAAACTTTTCACTTTTTAAGAATGGATCTAAACCAGGGGTGTCAAACTCAAGGCTTGGGGGGGGGGGCGGATCCGGCCCGCGGGGTGATTAGATCTGGCCCACGGGGCTTCCCTGGAAGAGCTCAGGAGGGCTGCATGTGGCTCTCCCGACCTACGTTTTCGCTGGCAGAGGGTCGCAGGGGGCGGTTTCAGTCAAAAATACAGCTTGGGAACCCGTTTTTGCTGGCAGAGTGCTCGGGCCTCCACGGTGCCCCCGACACAAGTGACGTCAAGCGGGCCACTCCCTCACCCCACCCCAAAGTCAAACACAACCCTGATGCGGCCCTCAATGAAATCAAGTTTGACACCTCTGTGCTAGACGTTTAGCATTTCTGATTCAAACACACACGGACGTACTCCAAAAAGATCCCGCCATGATCTCTGGATCCCTGGCCATGCTTTGTGACAAAACGTTTTACTACGTCCACTTCCAAGACTGCCCGTTTTCACGAAACTGAAAAGGAGCTGCGGGGCATCCCATGGCTATTTTGAACACACACAGCTGCCCTAGACTGACCCACAGCGAATGAAGACATTGGGAGTTCCTTCGCTCCGGTTGAAAGTTCCAAAAATGTACTTGTCTACGCACCGTAAGTTCTCCAAGTGTTACAATCTGTGTCTCAAGGGCACCCATTGGCTCAGAGGTAAATTAATATCAGGACGCGGTCCTGGCTGTAAGGCATTGCGGGTTTTACTACGCGGTAATGGTTGAGAGACTCAAAAGAGCATCGTTTTTAAGCCTTGGATTCTAAACCTCCTCTTGTTGGAAACTGACCGGTGTGTTTTGTGTAAAGTCTTAGAAAAGTACAATCACGTAATACAGAATTCAAAAATTAGGTGAGAACCGTTTTAGAAGATTAAAAACCTTGTGGGGTGCATTCAGTTCATAGGAAATACAAAACCCCAGTAAAGCCAGCAGACCTGGGGTGAAAACTCTGATTTAAGCTCGTTATAGGTCTGAATTTGCTACAATTTCCTGGCTGTTTTTCCCCCCACATCTTTCTCTCTGTGTTGGGTGTGGTGTGCAAGTAAGCCACGCTCTCTTCTCAAAATGGCAATCTTCAAAGTGCTGCAAAGAAGCTAACTGTTAGTGCTGCTGCTTTCTCGTTCCATTCCCACTTCCAACAACCCCAGCTAAGTTCTTGAAATCCTAAGAATTACAACGATCCCTGTTTTATATTAATGGCACTTACTGTGGAAAAGCACAGTTCAGGCAGATAGAGATAGAAAGATTTAGGTTTCTTCGTGTAAGTTTAGGAACCAGTATCAAGAGCGCAAGCTCTGATTTTCAGAGATGTTAAGAGGTTAAGAAGTGTTTTTCTAAAAAAATAACCTTTAGAACAGGTACAATGAAGCAGTTCTCAATAAACCTGGCTTTTTTTTCCAGATATTTTCTTGATTTTTTGGACTGATAAGGTCTCGTTTCATTCATCCGACCCGGTCTGATGCTCCCATCAATTCAAGTGTAATTGCACTCTAGAAAGGACTCAACTCTGAATGTCCTAGTCCGATATCCTCGGTGATAGCTATCTCCCGATCTAACTTTTGGAAAGGTTTTTCTCTTATTCAAACCTTTCTCGCCATTGTATCATCCCGATCTTGCATCTTTTAACACGGCGGATGTTAAAATCTCATCGAGCCACAGCAGAGAAATAAGCGGGTTTTTTTAAAAAAAAATTGCTTCTCAACCGAAGTAAATGAATTTAGAGTGGCATATTAAATCCAAGTTTGAAAAGGGAAAAAAAAATTTGGATGTTCCTAAAAAAAAAAAAAAAAAGAGCCTACGGTTTGGAAGGAAACGGAGCTGCCCCAAATGGATCAAACTCCACTGCCTGTGGCTGCTGGCTCTGTTGAGACTTCACACTTGGCACGAGTTCGGTGAAAGGAACTGCTCCGAAATCATCTGTTAATTTTATGCCGTCGCCGGAATGAATGCTACCAATTAAGGAGCTCTGCCTGGGTCTCCCAGGCGCTGCGGAGTTGTGATTATCCCCACGATTATCAGCCAATCCTTGGTGTTGTGGGAGACGTATCCCTTCGGCAGGGTGGAAAGGCTTGGCTCCAAAGGGATCCAGGAGGTTATCCTCACCTTGCAAGGGATTGACTCTGTCCTTGCTATCCGACAGGCTAATGCTTATGTTTTCCTTGGAATCGGAAATGGTCAGAAACTCGTTGCTGCTTTGGGAATCCCGGCGGCCGGCTTTCTTGTGCCTTCGGGCTCTCTCCGGCGTCCGGTAACTGGGCTTGAGGGTCTTCTTGCTGCTGGTGGGGGTTCCGTGATGGCGCTTGCCGTTGCTCTTGGTCCCCTCTTGCTTCATGCGCCTCTGGCGGGAGGAGAGCTTCTGCAGGTTCCGTTGCTGCTGCTTCGCCTTGTGCTGCTGCTGGCTGCCGGTTATCTCCTCAAATGGGACCAGCCCGAAGAGATCCTCCCTCGCTTCTCCGTGCCTCTGGATGGAAACGGGCTGGAACGGGAGGCAGCCAAAGACGTCCACGCTTTTGGGGGGAACGGGAGACGTTTGAAGTTCCGAGCCTGTGATCGGATCGTCTTGCTGGGATATCCTTCTGCTGAAGGGGGCTTTGGTGAAGACGTCGAAGTCGTCCTGGTCTTGCTGGGGACGGGCGACGTGGGGAGAAGAATCCTTCTGCTCCTGGGGCTGCAAAACGTAGAACGGAACTGCTCCGAAGACATCAAATTCTTGTTTGGGGCTCAAACTGGAACCGGGGAACTCGGTCAACGACGGACAGGGAAGAATCGTCTCTCTGCTTTCTACGTTGCCAGGCCCTTCTCTGTATCTGCCGCAAGGCACCTCTTCTGGGGGCCTAAAATGTTGACTGTCCGAGTCAGAACTGTGCTTATCGTCATCTTCTACATCTTCTTCAGAATCCATGAGAAGGGGGTGCTGGCCTAGGTTTTCTGGCTCTGTGTCGTTGTCGTCAATAAAGTCTCCCGTCTCGCCCTGCAAGACTTCTTCGTCCTCTTGCTCTTCCTCTTCCTCACTGCTCTTTGGAGAAGGGGGATCGGATTCAAAATCACTCTCCGATTCATCGTTTCCTTTCTTAGTAGGAACTTCCGCTGCTTTCTTTCCAGCATCCTGGTCCTTAACCACCTGGCTTGGCCTCTCGTACTTAGAAAGACCCTCTAACGTGTTTTCTAGATTGCTGGCTGGGTTATTAATTTCATTTCCTGGGGAGCCTGAAAGGATGAAGAACAGGCAAAATAACTTCAATTTCAAATCAGCGTTTCACTCCTCCACAGACACACATACAGATATACATGCTTTTACATTATACAGTTGGACAATTCTTAAGACTCAAAAGCAGACACTAGAACTTTTAAATCTTCAGCCTTACAGCCAGAAAAGGCATATCTGAGTATTAGTACATTCACTCTCAATGGCAACAACTGTGCTAAACCATCAACAGATGTCTTCCCACCAACCCTCATTTTGCATCCTCTGAGAAGGGAATCTATAATGGAGGTCAGCACATTCTCTTATCCAGGGATGAAATTCAGCAGGTTCTGACAGGTTCTGGAGAACCGGTAGCGGAAATTGTGAGTAGTTCGGTGAACAGGTAAATACCACCTCTGGCTGGCCCCAGGAGTGGGGCGGGAATGGGGATTTTGCAGTATCCTTCCCCTGCCACGCCCACCAGCCACGCCCACAGAACCAGTAGTAAAAAAAAAATTGAATTTCACCACTGCTCTTATCTTATTGATATAGAATAATTCATACTGTTTTGAAAGGAAACATACTGAAGTACAGTACTTAATTATGTTTATAATGTCATTCCTGACCACCTGCTTATTTAGAAATGTTTCTATTTAATTACTGAATGATTTTTTTCCCCCCAGTATGGATTGTCCCACATCCTGGCACCGCTTATTTTCACACCCTGAAGATAAACAATCCCGAAGCTGACATTTCCTTCATGGTATATTTCCCTCTCTAGCCATTTTGTCCTTTCCACACTCTTTTCTATCCTAAATACACACTCCTTTTCAGCTAAAGTGGAGTTTGGCATGCAGCATTCTAGCAATGCAGCTCTGTATCTGTTTCTTAAGAATTCCCATGGTGGTCCATACGATTTAATACCTAGAAAACATGTTTCAGATTTCGCCTAAATCTTTGTGTGATAAAATATACCCCTTTATTAATCAATTTTATTTGCCCTCTTAATATTCCCACAAAGTATACCGGGCTGATATTTTCCTTCTGAATCAACTATGACTCCCCTCCCCCTGAGTATTAGTGACCAGTTTAGCTTTGATCTGTTTCCATGTGAAGCTAGCATTATTTATCTCAACACACATCAAGGAAACTTTCTCCCTCATTTCACTCACCAAACTGTTGTTAAGGAGAAATTATTTTCCTTGCAATGTGGAACACTGTGTCTTTGTATTTAAACTGCGCTTCCCACTTATTGATTTCCTATAAATGGACCTTTGGATTAACTGTTGGGATTGCTTTTTGAGTCTAAAGAGTAACGGATTAGTACAGCTAGTCCCATCTAACTGGCCAAAAGGGGGACGCGGTGGCTCAGCGGCTAAGACGCTGACCTTATCAATCAGAAAGGTCGGCAGTTCGGCAGTTCGAATCCCTAGCG